CCCTAAATGAATTAAGTCTGATCTGAAAATAATAGTACAATATACTTTGATTGACATTAAAAGTTCTTTTCCTAAAATAAGTTTTAGGAAACAAAAGAGGGCACTAAAAAGAAGACCAAGAATCCCATTCTCACTGGGTTCCAATTGGCACATTTTTATCATTTCTTTTTTTTTCTTTAAAGATTTTATTTATTCATTTTAAGAGAGGGGAGGGGAAGGAGAAAGAAAGGAAGAGAAACATCAATGTGTGGTTACATCTCACGCACCTTCTACCAGGGACCTGGACTGAAACCCAGACCTGTGCCCTGGCTGGGAATCGAACCAGTGACCCTTTGGTTTGCAAGCCAACACTCAATCCACTGAGCCACACCAGCCGGGGAAGAGTTCCCAAGTGACATTTAAGTTCCACAACTGTCAATATGAAACAGACCTTATCAGATATGGCAAAATGTCAGTACAGTTATGCATAGTTACACATAACTATTTGATTCCTTAAAGCAAGAGCTTGTAATTGAATTTTGAACTATCATAACCTGTTAACAGTGACAATGACTAAGTTCCAAACAGAAAATATAATCAAAGAATGATCTCTAATTCAAGTTTGACAATTTTTTTCTATTAAGTGGAATAAAATACAAAGAATCAACATGTAAACTATGAGTTTGTTTTGCTGCAACTATGTATATGTGCATTGTAGTATTGTATCTAAACATTATTTTTAAATTACACATACACACACATGCTCAAATGCTATATAGGAATCAAAACTGATATCAATGTCCTCTAACTTAAAAAGAATTAATAATATTGAGTTTCAAAACATTTATGCTACTTAATTTTCAGTTTCTGGGTTACTAAATGATATTGAAACAATTAAGCAAGAAACTATGCTGTATAAGAGCTATAATACTTCTTTATCTCATTATCATTTAAATGCTAAATACTCCATTATAGAGGTAAATTGGGTTTAAAATAAAATGTTTCAAGCAAAAGAGCAAAAAATATAAGGTTAAACAGAGTAAAGAATCAAAGCTTCAATCTGTGGTATAAAGCTTGCTAGGAAATGGACTGATCTTTTGATACACTAAAAATACCAGAACCTTTGACATGCCCTATTGAGTAAATATACTGATCTGGAACAAAAATTATGTGAAACAGCTGTTAAGTGACTGAAGAAACGCACATTGGACCACCAGTCTGTCATAAATTGCACTTTTAATCAGAAAGCATCTGTCTTTTCATTTCCTTTTCAGCAATCTCTGCATTGTATTTAATCTGCACAGAATGCCTCTCCTAACAGGTGCAACAATGTTTACAAATTGAAAACCTTATTTAAATGAAGCTTACAACTAGAGATGTTTCAATTAACAGGGCAATATTTTATGAGAAGGAATAATTCTAACATGTGGCAAATCCATAGAAAGCTTTGCATTCGTGAAATTTAATTATTGGAAAATTAGAGTAAAAGCACCAAGGACGCTATAAGTGCAAGGTGCTTCAAACAATCTTATGCAATATATTAGCATCTAGAGAAGCTATAGGGAAAAGGTATTGGTGAGAATATGGACAGCATGAGATATTTGGGATAGAGAGTATAAAATGTCATGTTTAATAAAAAATGTTAGAACTAATAATGTCACAAGTATCTATAAAAAAGTGGCAGTTGTGGCACCAGTTTATTTTCCTACAGTTAAATATTATTTTCTATTATCATTATTCACTTTTTGAATATAACAGATTCTTAACAATCTTGTCAGACTAAAAAAAAAAAAATTGGCAGAGCTCTGGCTGGTGTGGCTCAGTGGATTGAGCGCTGGCCTGTGAACCAAAGGGTCGCCAGTTCGATTCCCAGTGCATGTCACATGCTGTGTTGCAGGCCTGGTCCCCGGTAGAGAAACATCACGCATTGATGTTTCTCTCTTTCTCTTTCTCCCTTCCTTCCCATCTTTAAAAGTAAATAAATAAAATCTTTCAAAAAATGGCTGAAATAATAAGATTTATATTATAATTACCCAAATAAATTTAAAAGATTATTTCTCAAAAACCTAAGCATAATCATAAAATTAGATCATTTAGAGCACATATATGATTATTAAAGTGAAAGGAACTATAGAATTATCCATTTGAACTATTTTACTTAAAATGAATATAGAAATGATGAACCACGATCCTACAGGGTCCAGAAAGGCAACATAGGGAACACAAAACATGTAGGCCTTTTGGTTGATCATTCACATCCTGATTTTTTTAGACAAACAGGTGTTGAAGAAATATTATTCTTAATTGTACCCTAAGACAAACAATATGGTAGATTCTTTAAGAAAGAGCATGATAAGCTAGTGAGTAATGCACAATTTAGCTAACTGTGCCCATGAAAAAAAGAACCCGATGTTTCCAGAAATCCAATTTTTTGATAAAGCACAGAGCAAATAAAATATATCTGCAGACTGGATCTTGCCCTTGGGCTTCCAATTTGCAACCTTTAGTGTAATGGTTGAGAACACGAGCTTGCTGTTAAACAGATCTGAGGTCAACTTCTATCTTGGCCATTTATTAGTTTTATGACCTTGGATAACCTACTAGGTTTTAAGCTGCATTTTATCTACAACAACAAAAAATAGGTGTTAATTTTAATAGCTCTCCCTCAGGGATATCATAAGTATTAATGAGATGAGGTAAAAAATACAGTAAGTACTCAATAGGTGGTAGAGATTATTTTATAAAGTATTATATGTGTGACATATAGTATATAATACATAAATATTATGTATGATACTTTAAAGTCTGATTTAAAATTTATGAAAAAGCTCTAATTTTCTTATGTAGTTTACTAATTGACATAAGATAAATCATTATATTATGGATAAAGCCTTTCAAAGTTCATAACTTTTCTTCATATAGAGAAATGTTTTTTTATAAATTAGCACAGAAAGCAAAGGTTTTCTGTTCTTTGGAGAGTTCACCACACAAAATTATCTCATCTTGGGCACTCATATTTTGTAAAGGACAAATCCATTTTTTAAAACGTTCCACACTAAAGCAGTATAAACAAGGTCACTTGTTTTAAACCATAGGTGATTCTCTTTTAATTACTTATTGGGGACAAATATAGTAAAAAAAATGATTTTGATCGTAAAAGTTAGTCTGCGTATAATTTGAAAAACTAATTGACTTGTTTAGACAAGCTAGAATATAGGCTTTAGTCTTAGAAGTTGCAATGATAATAGAACTTCATTGGTGCTGGTTTCCAAATCTTCTTAGATCCTACCACTGATCCTAACCAAATGCCACCTCTTCCGCTTTCGAAGCTTGTTTTCCATCACAATTAATATACTCTCCCCTCTTAATAATGTATTCTTTTATATAAAACGTTTAGAAATCCTCCCACGAATTGTTAGACCCACAGACAATAATTGTGAAGATAGCTATGGTTGATAGAAGCCTAATTACATACATATTCAATGTTAGCTAAGCCCTTTACATGCATAGTCTCATTTATCTTTATCCTGGCTCTATGAAGGAGATTCCATAACTATATTGTGATTCCTCATTTCTAAAATAATTCAGAATGACGTTAAATCATTTGTCTAGTATCAGAATCAAGAGTCAACTAGTAGTCCAATTCTTAAGGTTATACTACACTGCTTCTCTAAATTCTTGGCTTAAAACTCAACCAAGAGGAATCAGACCTGTATGGAATAAAAGCTATCATCCCATGTATTGACATGACAAAAGTTGGATGGGTCCAGATGGGGAAGTGATAAAAAGATATTATGAAATATTAAGCAGAAAAGTTAAAAGTGAGTTAATTTCTTAATACATTGATTTCATTAAAGTATATACAGTGGATTTCCATAAAAAAATAAAACCTCTATGCATGTACCTCATTTTCAACAACAACAGCACATGAAAATCCAAATGTAAAAAACTGATAAATCATAATGATTATTTTTACATCACCTAAGAATTTATCTCATCCCAATAGGATTCACCAGAGTTTCTCTTGCCATAAATTTAAAATGTTAGTGGTCATTAACTGCTTATAGAGGAGCTAATGTGAGTATAGGGGCGGAGAGTGGGTTCAGAGAGACATAAAGCTAAGCATTGCTCAAAGCTTTCAGAAATTAAGATATTAAATATCAGAAGTATATTATATATTTTATAGTATAAAAATATAACTTAAATACAAAAATACAACTTAAAATATATATAAAAATATAACTTAAATACAACTTTTCAAGGACATCTATGTTTGAAGCACAAGGCAAGTTTTACTCTTATTTTCCAGCCACCACTTTTTTTAATGTAAAAATTACCTCAAGCAGCCCACTCTGGACTCTTTTTAAAGAGCTCCCCAAAAGGTATGCATAGTTTGTCAAAAGAAGGTAAAATATTTCAACTTGTTTATATCTACAGAGAAACATTTCTTGTGACACAATTCTGAGAAAGATTAAAATGCTTGAAGTTCAATAAATGGATAAACACAGACTTAAGGTGAATCATGCCAATGCGATATTCTTTGGGGGGAGAATCTCCTATCTTCACACATAAAATGTATTTTTTTAGGAAAGCCAACTAATGACAAACTTTGGGTAGCTAATCTGTAGGACACATTAATATACAGCGTATGAAAGGCATTTTCCCTTGGGCAAGGAGAGGAGAATGTATTGCACATGTCACTTGTTCTGTGAATACTGAGGACTACAATTACGAGGTAATGTTAACGCAACTACTGCAAATTTTTTTGTTACAAAGCACACTGTGAAAATGTGAGTGACAGTATAAATCTTTTTAAATTGAATTCAACACTATTGAAAAGAGCTGATGTTTTCAAATACTGTTACAAAGCCTCTGAACAACAAGAATAACTCTCTAAATGAACCAGCTTCCTATAGTGACCTATTTGATAAGAAAGACAAATAGCGAGGATAAAATCCAATTCTGCATGTCTGCTATTTTGTGTGCATGTGCGGGTGTTTTGCATTTTTAGAAACAATCACCTGTAATGTCTTGATGTCCTCGTAAGCAAACTGCACAGTGGGAACTCCAAGATGGTTGATGAAATAATCTGCATCACCTTGTATCTGTACAGAACTGACATTGGTTTCTGGGCACTGAGTTCTTCTGGAACAGTTGAGTTTATTTTTCTGGAAAACATAATTTAAATTGTTAGCACAAACTAAGCTTCTCTGGGCATCCTTAAATCAATGCTACTTAAAATGTGGTTCATATATCAGCAGCATCGATGTCACCCAGGAACTTATTGAAAATAGAAATGCGGAGGCTCCACCCATGTCCTCCTGACTGGGGGAACTTTGGGGGTGGGGCCCAGGAATCTGTGTGGTAACTCTCCTCTACAATTCTGGATTCTGATGCTCACTGAAGTATGAGTAGCACTGAAACTGCTTGTTTTTTCATCCTGTAAAAGCATTTTTTATCATGGAATTACTATGAACTGTAATAAATTTAATTTTTAAAAGGATTTTATATATTTATTTTTAGGGGGTGGGGAGAAAAGGGAAAGAGAGGAAGAGAAACATCAATTGGTTGCTTCTAATCCATACCCTGAAATAGGACTGAACCCTCAACCCAGGCATGTATCCTAACCAGGAATCCAACCTGTGACCTTGTGCTCAGTGGAATGATGCCCAACCAACTGAGCCATACTGGTCAGGGCTAACTCTTTAATTTGAAATATTTTTAAAGAATGTGAGTCCCTTAAAAAAGTTTAGTTTTAGTGTTTTTTTAAAGGGTTTTTTTTTAGTTTTTCCATAAATTTAAAGAATGGCTAAGTAGGATACATTTCCATTATTCTAAATTTGTTTTTAAAAAAGCACAGAAATAATTTTCTACATTTCTTCTTAAAAATACATTCCCACATATTTGAAGAATATATACCAGCAACTCTGTGGGCCATCAAGAATCACATACCTAAGTGCAATGTTTGGGGAAATATGAGGAGGGAGGTAGACTATTATTTCTTAAACTAAGAGTTGTTGAGCACACAAAATAAATTACAGTAGTTTTACAAAAATAGAAACATTATAAAAAAATCAAAAGTAAATTGTTTCTGTAATTAATGTTAACTAAAAATATATTCTTTAATAAAATTTCCAAAATCTAGAATCTTCCTGAGGCATTGTTGTCTTAAGTATGAACTATGGAAGAATACCAATCCCCTCAGCACTAATCATGAGGGCAGTGAGCAATAACATGAGAATACCATATCTAATAGGCAGAAAGTACAGGGTGAAGAAAAAGTAGGTTTACGGTTGTGAGTGTGCAAAACACAGGAGTTTATTCTTGTATTATTATTTATTAATTACTGTATTATTTTCCATACAAACAGCTCTAAACCTAATTTTGCCCCACTCTGTGTATATTCTCAATATGCATCTGCCATTGAATCAAAAATCAATGGATTCTTCAACCCTCCCCCCAACTACTATGCTTCTTTGGTATGATATAATTTCAAAAATTCTTTTAAATATAACCTATAAAAAGATTTGAAAATATGCAGTTTAATATTCATAAAGCAAATTACTCCAACTTTTTCAAGTACAGTGTTAGATTTTTTTCAACTGCGTAATAATGTTTTGATACCTATCCAATTTTCTTTGAGGACCTAAAAGAAAGATCTTTGCAGCAAAGTTAAAATCAATTAAAATGGAGAGCCTGTGTGAGTGTTTATAAATAGGCCAAGATTTCCATTTAATGTTATTTACAAATATCTTGGATAATTAAGCACTTTGCAAATACAATGGCAAGTGAAAGGAGTGTTCTACCATACAGTCTAATCAGTAGGGACCTAATGCTTTTTATGATTGCTCCCACCAGCTTGTATCTTTTGAAAGCCTAATTTTTTGAAGAGAATTAATCTTCTTTCATGTCCTGATATACTCCTGGGGTAAAGACTCCTGGAAGTTTTATTCCTTTATAGTGTTCATAGAGTATTTTGAATATTTCCAAAGAAGAGTTATGCTCAAGTACTAGATAATGAAAACCAAATAAATTATTGTATATCATGTAATAATTACCAAATAATATTGAGACATCCAGGTGTTAAAAAACTAGCACCTATGAAGGTATTTCTTTAGCCAGAATTTGAATGTCTTGGCCAGGCAAGGAACTGGCTCATGTCCCGTCACTAGTGTCACACTCAGCCTGCTTCAGATGGTGGCCAGAAGCATTGAATTTGGGAAACCTAAACAGTTGTACTCTTTTATGTTACTAAAGAATATTTCACGGAATCTAGTCTTTTCTTTCCCCAGGTGCCTAACTAATGAAATTAAAAATCATTTAGGTGATATACTTTGCCTTCACTGCAGCAACATCTATGTTTTTTTGAGACACCATATGTACCCTACTCAACCTCAATAAACATATAGGTTTGGCTTTACTTTCATTTTGCGTAAATAATTCGTACTATCCACTAGAAGTATCAGCCACATTCCTTGCACAGCACTGTTTTTCCCAACAGAAGAATGGCATGGGTCAAAATTGACAATTCTAAATTCCACAGTGTGTTCCTGTGAAATAATTAAATTTTTAAAAATAAAATATAAACATTATTTATACATAAATAAATAAATATAGTATTTGATACTATTTTCATTCAGTCATCACTATTATATAATAACTTCCTTCTAACAAAAAGTATTAGTTTTCCATATATGCAAGTTCCTGAAAAGGCACAAATGACCCCATTCCAACCAATCCTTGCATTCTTTGTGTGATGTAATAGTTACACAAAAAATGAGTTCTTACTTGGCTTCACCTTTGTATTGATTCAGAGCATTCTGACTGAAGCCAGACAAGTTCTCTTCTATTCCCTCTGTGCTTGCCATAACCACTTCTATCACATAGTTTTAATATTTTCATTGCATTCCCTATCTCTTACACATTAATGTAATGATTACTGCATCATTTCTTTCCATGTTTTCTGTTTTTCAGGCAAATCACAAGGGCAATAGCCAACCTTTAGGATTATGTACCCTAAAATACTTCTGCATTCTTTTCCCTACTCTGGCTTGCTTTACTTGACTCATTTATTGAAAAGTCTATTTTTTTTTCTAAAGGTTTGCATTAACACCTTGTTTATATATAAACTCCTTTTGTAAACTAACTAAGATAGCAACAGAGTGAGCATTACCTAGAATTGATTTCAAATTATATTTCGAAGGTTAAAGCTATTAAACTGTATCTGTGGTGCTACATATGGACAATTTGCAGAGAGAGGATAGAGTACAGAACAACGGGGTTGTGTGGGCCAAGGGATAGCTGGGCCTACAGCTGGAAACACTTGGCTATTGGGCCTTATGTCAAAGTAAAGCCCACATGAAGGGTAAAGGCTTCAAGAAAAATCAGTTTAACATTGGAGGCTTCAAGAACAACAGAGTTCCCTGAAAAACCTTCCTGGGGCCTGTTCTTACCTACTGAGGCCCGAGTTTGTCTGTAAAGTCCTGCTGAGGACTTACCTTACTAGCTTACAATCTCTCTCTCTCTCTCTCTCTCTCTCTCTCTCCCTCCTTCCCATTCCACACCTCATTTTCTACTGCCTGGTCTTCTGATTTAACCAGAGATGAAGAAAGGAAATACATGGCCCTCGACCCTATGTCTATTTTGTTCTTTTGTGCTTTTTTTCCTAACTAGTTTCAGAGAAAAATGGTATAAAGAGAACCCAGCTTAGAGATTGCAGTTCCCACCCATGTCATTTTATCTAGGGATTTGCTTAAATGGAAAACATTCTTGACACAGAAACCCTACCCTCTAAATATTGTTTTTATTATTTCTTACTTTATATTTCCAATTTTGGCAAAATCCACAAATTAGTGATCTTGAATCTATATTCTATCCTAATGTGAATTGTTTTCCCACACAGCACTTCAGTGGATTGTAATAGATCTGTATCAGTTAATAGACACTAATCTACTAGACCCTTGAAAGCACTAATATCTGAGAGGGAAGTAGAAATAAATATTTATTTCCTTCATTTTACTAAGAGTTAGCCACCATGGGAGAGTGAAGGTTGGTAACAAATTTGCACAGGTCAATTAATTTTTAAAATCTATTTACAAGGCTGAGTACATTCAAATTAAGTATTTCATCCAAGGAGTTCAAAACGCTCCATACGTAATGTTTGATAACAAGCATTTTTATTCCAGTTCATAAAATAAGCAAGTTCAGGCAAAGACTGTAGTTATGCCACTTCATTTTCTATCACAAGTCTGTTAAAGACTGAAATGAAACCAGCATCTCAATTGTAAGGCTGTATGCTCTTTGCAAGTAGACTTTGAGGGCAAAAGACAAAACCTTATAATAAGTGATCATGTAAGTGAGTATGATCCATACCAAGACACACTGAGACGTTCCTAAAGTATTCAAAAATCTGTTTAATGATTTAATCATTGTATTTCTCCTACACTCTGTTTTTCCTTGCATGTATTAATATTCACGTAACATAAGAAATCTAAATTGATTACTTATTCCAATAGTAAGAAAAATGTAACATTCTAAGTAAATGTACCATAATCTACACATTAAAGAAAAATAAACTCTTTCCTTTCATTTCAGTGTTAATCTTGTAACTTCAGTTGTGCAGAAACCATTTATGTCCCTGATTTTCATGGTGTTCATAGTAATGTCCCAATTGTGATAATGATGCCTATGTTATTTAAAAAATCATTTTTCATTATAGGCACGGAGATGGTTAATTTTATGTGCCACCATAAGGTGTCTGGATATTTGGCCCAGCATTATTCTGAATGTCTCTGTGAGGGCGACTTTTGAATGAGGTTAACATTTGAATTGATAGACTGACTAAAGCATGTTTCCTACCCTAATGTGCATGGACTTTAACTCAATCATTTTAAGGTATGAAAAGAACAAAAAGGTAGTCCTTGCCAGGAGTAATGGAGAATTCCTCCTGCTTGACTGACTTTAGCTGGGATATCGGTCTTCCCTTTCTTTGGACTCTACTAAAACGCCAGTTCTTCTTGGGTCTCAAGTCTGACAATTCTTGAGGTATAACTTCTACCATCGACTCTCTTAGGTCTCCAGCTTGCCAACTGCAGATCCTGAGTCTTCTCAGCCTCCATAATTGTGTGAGCCAATTTCTTATAATAAATCTCTTTTATGCATTTTATTG